GGGCCTCCCTGCCGGACCCCGTTACACCGAGACGGCGAGTGCCTGACATCCAGAAACGAGAATTTCTCCCCATTGCTCCCCAAAGCGTTCAGGAGCGCAGCCGTTTAAAGGACAGCTCTGATCAGGTTTCCTCTGTTCCAGGGAGTTTGGCCAAGGCAGAAGATCTAATTAACTGACCACATGGAAAGAAAAGTCTTTGTTAATTAGGAACTAATTATGCTGGCCTTTGGCAAAGGCTGCAGGTTTTGGATTCAGCCTGAGCAACACGGAGCTGCAGGGACTGCAGTTAGTGATGCCCATTCCTCTCGTTTTCACCAGATCGGCAACGTGCCCGTGTGCTCTGGCTCTGGTTAAATCCCTCCGTGGGCTCCGATCCTTCCCGTGCATCAGCCAGGAGCGAGGGCTGGAGGGCACCAGGACGCCCGGAGCTCTGCCTCCGCCGCTCACCTACCTCCCTCTCCAAGCTCCTCCTGAACGGGGGCTCAACCGCGCCGTAGAAGAGGTTGTAAAGCCATCTGTGGAGAAGAGAGGAGTCCTTCAGCCCAGAGGCTGCTGCAGGAGTGTTTGCCAGGAAAGGGAGATGCTGGAGATGCGGGACACCAGGAACGGCATTCCCGTAGCAATTTGGCACCGAGCTTCGCCTCAGGCTTTACATTTGCAAACAGACCTGCTGGTAAAGCACGTGCAGGCAGGTCTAGTGACTGCCCTCAGTGTGCAGCCACGGCAGGACAAATGCGGAGCAGGTTTAAGTTCATTCGGTTGCACGGCTGGGTGAGAGGTACATCGCAGGAGCCCGGAGGCAGCTCACTGCTGGGCACAAGTGCGGGCAGCCCGCGGGCAGGAGGGGCAGCCCCCACGGACCGCAGACATCCGACACCTTACTCCTTGCAGCAGGACCTGGAAGCCCATTCCCCGGCAGACGGGCTGACACAGCGTTTCTAGGCCGGCACGGTGGAGATACGTACCCAAACTTGCCCGAAAAATGTACCCGGACTTTGGAGATGCGGGTCGTGCAGTCAGAGGTGTCGATGGTGGGCTTCCCCGAGGCGTCGCTGCCCAGCTTCAGACATCCGACACCTTACTCCTTGCAGCAGGACCTGGAAGCCCATTCCCCGGCAGACGGGCTGACACAGCGTTTCTAGGCCGGCACGGTGGAGATACGTACCCAAACTTGCCCGAAAAATGTACCCGGACTTTGGAGATGCGGGTCGTGCAGTCAGAGGTGTCGATGGTGGGCTTCCCCGAGGCGTCGCTGCCCAGCTTCAGGTCGATTTTGATATCAACGTTCTCTACCTTCAGGTCAAACGAGCCATGGTCCCGGCTGCAGGGAGAGGAGGATGAGAAAGGGACAAGTCCTGGGGAAGGGACCCCAAATCAGCCAGAGCTTTGGGACGGACCTATCTAGCTCAGGCTCTCCCTTGTAGTGAGCACCCAGAGGGGACCAAGAAGGATTTTACACTCCAGGAAACCTAATTTCGCCAGAGCATAAACTAGGAGAAGTAACCTTTAAATAGAGAGGACCAAGAGCAAGTGGGGGAGATGGAAGAGAAAGGACCGTTGGTGCACAGCTCCTCCATCGTCCACCTTCTTCTTGCCCCCGCCCCGTTTTGTCCATCTCAGTGGCTAGCGACCTCTGCCCGCCCCGGGTCCCGGCTCAGGTCTGTCCCTGCGGGTGCTCAGGACGGTGCCCCCAGTGCCAGCGAGAGGGGAGATGGCTTTCACATCGTCTCCCCAACCACTTGGGAGTGGAAGAAAAACTGCCCGGCCAGCTCCGAGGGCTCCCAGTGTGGAGGGAGACCTGGCGGAGCTCCCCCAGGGCGAGGGGCTCCCCTGGGGCCAGGGGCTCCCAGAGAGCAAAGCGACAGCTTCCCTGGCACAGGGGAGGGGGAGAGGAGAAAACGCCTGTCCAGACCCCGAGCGGGAGGCGCAGAGCGAAGGGCCGGAGCGGGGAAGGGGCGGCCGGACACGCACATGAAGTGGAT